CGGAGCTCAGGCTTTAAAGCGGCTGGCGGCTCAGGCTGGAAAGTTTCTCTCCCGGCTGTGTAGAGAAGACCGATGGCGAAAGAACACGGCTGGCTGCCTGTTGCTCGGCAGGAATACGTGCCCAAGAAAGCCCCTTCCGAGGCTGCTCCCGCCTGCGTCCCTGGTGCCTCCTTGTCTCAGACTCCCACCCATCCTGCCTGGTCCTTGAAGGTTCCCTACGCCCCCTAACGCTGCCCGGCTGTTGGCGGCACCTTTTCGCCTTCACAGTGTAGGACATCCAGGGCAGCCCCTGTAGGAGACAAAGGACTTGCCCAAGGTCACACAGTGCAATGGAAGTAGAGCCCAGTTGGGCCACCACTTCATCCAGAGAGCTTCCTGCAGTCCTGGCCGATGGATCCACGCCGGGTTAGCAGGTTGAAATTCTGCCTTGAAGGCCTTGCTGTCCACCACTTCTATTTCTCTGCAGCCCACCACCACCACTAGCTTCCAGAGCCCGTGCAACCCCAGGCTCCTGCCTCCCCATTCCCCATTCTGTCGCCAATGCCTGCCTGCCCTTCCCACACCCTCCCGTCTCTTCTGGGCTTGTGGCCACAGCTGTCTTTCAGCGGCTCACATGCCCGAACCATTGCACTAGCCTGCAGCATGATCTATCTACATTGCAAATTATTGAGCCTCATCTGTGACTTGGAGACTGTGTTTTAAAAATATATTCTAGGGGCGCCTGGGTGGCTCAGATGGTTAAGCATCTGCCTTCGGCTCAGGTCACAATCTCCAGGTCCTGGGATCGAGACCCAGGTGGGGCTCCCAGCTCAGCGGGGAGTCTGTTTCTCCCTCTGCCCCTCCCCCGCTTGTGCTCTTTCTCTCTCTCAAATGAATAAATAAAATCTAAAAAAAAAAAAATTCTAGGGGCGCCTGGGTGGCTCAGTGAGTTAATGGTCTGCCTTTGGCTCAGGTCATGATCCCAGGGTCCTGGGGTTGAGCCCCATGTAAGGCTTCGTGCTCAGCAGGGAGCCTGCTTCTCCCTCTCCCTCTGTCTGCCGCTCCCCCTGCTTGTGCTCTCTTTCTCTCTGTCAAGTAAATAAATAAAATCTTAAAAAATATATATTCTAGAGGGAGAGGTGACTGGGCAAGCACAGAGGATTTTTAGGGCAGTGAAACTATTCTGACGATATATCGTAATGGTGGATACGTATACATTTGGCAAACCCACAGAATGTACAACAGCAAGAATGAACACCAATGTAAACTATGGACTTGCGGTGATAATGCTGTGTCACTGTAGGTTTCGTGGATTGTAACAAATGTGCCACTCTGGTGGGGGATATTGGTAGTGGGGAAAGCTGAGCGTGTGCAGAGCAGGGGGTATGCAGGAACTCTCTGTACTTTCTGCTCAATTTTTCTGTGTCCCTAAAACTGCTCTGAAAAAATAAAGTGTATTAAAAATATATTCTGTAGACTCATCAGCAGGGAAATGCAAATCAAAACCACAATGAGATCTCATCTCACATCTGTCAGAATAGCTAAAATCAAAACCACGAGAAACAATAGGTGTTGGCGAGGATGTGGAGAAAAGGGAACCCTCGTGCACGGTTGGTGGGAACGCAAGCCGATGCAGCTACTGTGGAAATTTTTTGAGGGGTCCTCAAAAAATTAAAAATAGAGCTACCTTGTGATTCAGTAATTGCACTACTGGGTATTTACCCAAAGAATATGAAAACACAAATTTGAAAAGGTGCATGCACCCCTATGTTGAGAGCAGCATTATCTACAACAGCTAAATTATGGAAGCAGTCCAAGTGTCCATTGACTGATAAATGGATAAAGAAGATATGGTATATCTATACTATGGAATATGACTCAGCCATAAAAAAGAATGAAATCTTGCCATTTGCAACAGCAAAGATGGAGCTAGAGAGTATAATGCTAAGTGAAGTTAAGTCAGTCAGAGAAAGACAAATACCACACAATTTCAGTCATATGTGGAATTTAAGAAACAAAACAAATGAACAAAGAGAAAAAAAGAGACAAACAGAAAACCAGATTCTTAACTATAGAGAACAAACTGGTGAGGCGGGTGGGAGGATGGGTGAAATAGGTGTTGGAAATAAGGATAAATGAGCACTGAGTAGTATACAGAATTGTTGAATCACTATATTGTATGCCTGAAACGAAAATAACTTACTGTTAACTATACTGGAATTAAAATTTACACACACACACATTCTGTAGGCTGGGTTTTTTTAACCTTAAGTTTCTACACACTAATGGATCATGAAATCCATTTGCTGGGTCATTCATTTTCTTTAATGAGCTAGAATAAAAATGAAGATATTAGACTACATCACACAAAATAAGTATTGTTTGGTGAAATTTCTTTTTACAAATTTATTTCCTTTCCATTTAAAATCAGCCTGCAACCTGTTACCACAGAGTAAGAAGTTGAGATTCAGAAAGGTTGAGTAATAATAATATTTATTTTAGGTGCACCATGAGCCAAGTGCTTTCTGAGAGCTTTGCACTTGGCTCATTTAATTCCCATATGCAACTCTCTGAGGAAATAAGATGTCAGGTAACCCACCCAGATCACTCAACTGGGGAGCGTCAAAGTCGGGGGTCTGAACCCCCATAGGATGCTGTGATAGCCCACGTGCTTCACCTCGCATATTCTGGTCATACAACTAGTAACCGTGGAGCTGAGCTTTGAACTGAGGCCTGCTTGGCACTAAGGCCAAATCTCTGTCCCATGTAGTACAGCACGCTCCCTCCTACACACACCCCATATTCGTGTTCCAATCTCTACTCATATGACTGCACTTCTCAGTTGCTCCCTTGTTAACCTGCAGCATTACCTTCAAATTGCATCTTAGTGTAAGCTTAATGGGCTTTAAAACACCCATTCATTTATTCAAATATTTATTAAGCTACAATGGAAAGCACACACATACACCCTCCACCCTCGGTGTGGGAGCTGGGTGCATACTCTAGTAGAGAATATGTTTTTTGTAACTAATAATTAGTTTGCAGTAATTGGTGTAGCTGAAAGGTATGTGCAAGGGGTGGTGGTTCCTGAATTTCCCTACAGGGGGCGCTGAGGGGTGGCCCCCTTCTCGGAAATTCTGGGAAGAGGTTGGAAGAGGAAGACGCTGCATTTGCTTAGGGCCTTTGCTTGGCTTAGGGGTGCATGTAGGGTGTGATGGTGATCCCTCAGGCAGGTAGAGTCCCCCCAACCCCAGCCACCTCTCGGTATGGTCTCTAGGTCCAAGATGCTGCCGGAGTGCAGGTATTCCCTCTGGCCAGAAGCCAAAGCTTGGAGGAGGGGAGAGGCAAGGCAGGCACCCAAACCCTGCTGTGTGGGAAGCAGCCCCAGCATCTCAGAGAAGGGAGCAGAAAGAAGGCTGCATGCACTCACCCCTCCAAACCTTCAAGCCCCACGCCCCAGCCTCTAAACCTCCTTCACAAAGCCTCGAAAGCTTCAGGGCCTTGGCTGCCAACAGGCCCGAACACAGAATGCCCTCCCCTTCTCACCCCACCAAGCCTGACGCACCACCCCCCACCCAGGGCGCTGTCCATGCACCTGGCCTGGGAGGCACTTGCAGGTGAGGTTTATGGATTCTTCCCCACTAGGTGCTCTCCCCTGGCCTGTACCACCGCCTCTACCAGGGGCTGAATTGTGTCTCCCCACCCCCCAAATTCATATGTTGAAACCTTAACCCTCAATGTGACCGTATTTGGAGATGGGGCCTTTCGGGACACAATTAAGGTAAAAAAAAAGTGAGGCCCTAATCTAATAAGATTATTGTCCTTTTAAGAAAAGACACCAGAGATATCCCTCCCTCTTCACACACAGAGGAAAACTATGTGAAGACCTAGGAGGTGGCCATCTACAAGCCAGGAAGGGAGTCCTCACTAGAATCAGTAACAGGACCTTGATCTTGGACTTCCAGCTGCCAGAAGGGTTTTGTTACGACAACACAAGCTGACCAAGACATGCTTCCTGCTCCCTCACACCTGCCACGTCTTCCCTAGCCCTCCCCCATCGCCACAGCTCCAGCACGGTGCTTCCTCATTCGACCCCTAGACCCTGTCTGGATTTTGCGCAGGGTTAGATTGGAATGCCATAGGTTAAAAAAAAAATCCATTGCTGTCTCCTCATCAAAGGTCACTGATGTGTAGAAACTTGAGCAGGAGGCTAGATCCATCAAGAATTTGCTGAAGGACCAAACCAGGGGGAAAAAGTCT